GTCCACTTATGAACTTTCTCCACAGCATCTGTGCGTGAGCGGTTAAAAATGACATAACGGGATAGCAATCCGGTTTAAGGAAAATGTACATCGGTAAAGAAAGGCTTGAAACACCATTTCAACAAGATATATGTCTTCGCAATTCTCACGTTTCAGTTTTTTTGCGTCAGGTGACGACAACATTAGACAGAGTATCGGCTATGATGCAACCTGGGGAAAAACGGCCAGCTAGCACGTCGATAATCTGAGTTAATAATAAAAGACCAGTAGTGCTCAGTCGGTAGAGCGTCGGACTTAAAAGCAAGAAGTCCTGAGTTCGAGAACCGGTCGGAATCACTCGCGTTTGAACAGAGGTTTATGAGTACCATTCTGTGGGAAGGAAACAAGAGACCACAGAGTACATCTACCACACTGCTGCTGCCCACTGAAAAAAGGCACTCTTGGTTGAGAGTATAGAAATGGAAATCAGTGCATCATCATTTACTGCATGAAACAAAGGCACCAGAGGTGTTCCATTCATGAAGACGCAATGAAGACCGATATTCCAACGGTCAGAAACTTTCCTTGTCATACTCTGTAAATAACTTGACCCATGGTATTCTTGGGTAATACTAGATTTGCAGTCATTCTTCCGTCTGAAACGCGATGGATGTATAGCTAGAGCGATCTCTAACCGATTAGATGAAAAAAGACTAATACCTGCTAAAAAATGTGATCGACTCGACCTCATTTTCTTTTCAACTTTTTATTTCGGTATTGTGTGCGGCATATCGTGACGCTGAAGGAGCTAGCATAGAAAAACGGGAAATCATGAAATTTATACAAAACAGACGCTCGTGAAGCACACTGTATTCAGTGACTGATCTAATCAAAAACAAAAAATTAATTATATAAATTTGCCTACGAAAGTTATGCTGTTGATTCTAAATTAAGATTAAGCACAATCTACTACTTATTGATTCATGGCTGATGTTCGGTAGCATACATTATCAAAAAGAAACAAAACGCATTATACGTTTAGAATGCCAACGGGCGCGTTCCGAAACTCTTCATTTTCGTAACAAAAAAGGTTTTATGGGTATGTAAACATTTTCAGTTGCTTATAGACTTTTACGTTCACCTATGAATGAATAAATAAACAATTTAAATACTACATTTTTTAAATACAAAAATAACTTCAGATCTTTTTCGGGCTCAAGAAAGGAAAGTAGTTAATTCAGCTGTTCCCGTATAATGACGAATTACCTGTGGCGAAACAGCCGTTGAATGAAATAGCACAAATAAATACAAACAGGAAATAATAGAAACCTCTATGCGCTATAAGTATGTGATACATCATGTGACTCTTTCAACCGTATTAAGACACTGATCGACTTATCAGCTTGTCATATGGACAGGTACTAACGCTAAACAAACCAGAGAAATTGATTCTAAACTAATCTTGCAACGAATACGACAATCCACAATTCAGGGTAGTAAAAAAAGTAAATGGCGATGCTTCGCATTTCGTTACGACGTTGGCAAAATCGTCAGAATACGATAAAGTCAGCAGTTTCACGAAATATTTCATTATGCTAAGCCAAAATATGCGACAGTCGACGGGTAGTCTGAATGAGAAAAACTATGCATCAAGAGAAATCAACCCAGTTTCGTGAAATGATGCTGTTTTCATTCAATCATCACCATTTAAGATCGAAATTTTTATATCTGTTGAAAACTACAACTCCTCGTTGAATAATTACATAATTAATTTAAATTTTTAATTTCCATAAATAAAAAACAGATTCTATAATTAGAGTTAAATACACTAGTCAAGGTTAGCTAATTGAAGTTAAAAAACATTAAACAGCGTTATCACCTTATCTTTAACCAACAATTACTTTAACCTTCACGCCTGATCACTTTTCTGACTTAATTAAATGTAATAAATGTATTTCATCGATAACCGATTATGATAGATACGCATATAAATTTACATACACAGAATACTACGCCGATGTTCAGGGATGGCAACCACATGGTAGATTTCCATGTTCAAACTCAATGACACTATATAGGTCTTCTCTGCATTGCAGGCACTCAAATACCATCCAGTCGTGGCCTGCTTAAACAGCACCTAGGCTATGAAAACAAGGTGACTGTGCAGTATTGGCGCATCACGTGGTGTAATGACTCCCATTTGTCCCAAACTATCACGAATCGGTTTAAAGTAAAGAACTTCAAAGTCAGTCACTTTCGATCACAGTTTAGCCATTCCAGTTGAAGAGGCAGAAGCATCACGCAGTATCTCCAGTGTTTCTTTTGCCAGAAAATAACCCGAGTCTTAACCAAAATCGTTGGAGACATTAGCCCTATGTTATAATTCGCTGTCCCCCGGGAATTTCAGATGGTGGGTTGAATAAGTAGTAATTGTTTCGCCTTTCTTTCTTAAGGCATTCGCAACACGTGGCCCCAAATCATTGCAGCTGTCACTTTCCCGTCTTGAAATACAGTGGCTGCACACCAAAACTCTCTCGGACATTTGTTTTCCGCAGAACGTGGATAATCCGCGTGACCACTGCGATTCCTTTCAGAAAACCTATTTCAACCGCTCTTACCCGAGGTCAAGGTTTTCAGGAATGATCTACGACTGAGACGGAAATATGCCGGAACACAGGCAGCTCAGTCTTCAGACTCAACTTTATAACATCGACATAACCAAGTCACGTCAAGAAAATGTACCATACAAGGCGCAATTGCCCTTGAAAAAACTATTTGGTTCTACTTCATGAGATCATAAGAACATGAATATATGCTAAAAAAGCAGGTATGAATAGCAGTGGAAATGATTTTTGGAAAACGGCGCCTGTGCAGCAACGATGTGACAGAATTTAAAGCGAGTATCATCAACTAATAGAAAAAGAAAAGTTTACCTTCGCGTAGAATGGCTCAAAACCGGAGGGAGGCCGCTTTGCTTTATCTGTAAAGACAGAAATCGCGACCCGATGATCATTCGCCCACTACTCGGCCGATTAGTGTGCCCTGGTATCCGACCCACCCTGATCGTCTGCTGAATTTCAGGCAGTACCATTCACACCTAGTTTGGTACTTCTTGTACCATTAGACGCATTTCACAGATTTCATTTAATTGCATTTATTTTATTTTACTTAACTGCAGGAAAACACTTTATTGATCTGCGTATTAGCTTTTTATTATAATAAATTCAGAATGAACTTTTTAACAGCATAAATTCAGAAAACTCCACTATTACTGTCACAGTCATTAACACTGCAACTTTCTCTTAAAACGGCATTTTCGTCTAATTAACCACAAATTCCCCATTTAAAATTGATTTATCTCACTTTAATAACTTTAAACCAAAATTTTTATCACGTTTTTATACCGCTACAAATGTTTGAAGTGTCTATACAGACAGACTACTCAACTGGGTATACTGACGTTCTGGCAGACATCTGCTTATCTTCATTACATAAAAAGCCATACATCGGTTGATCTGAATATCGACTATCTTCAGGAATTCATAGCGATTTAAGTAAAGAGTTGCTGAAAATGTCTTGGGCTTCAAATTTTAAAAGAACAACATTCGTTCAAAGGATAATACTCGGACTGTCGAGAATGAGAAAACAGCGAAGAAGTGCATAAAACTAGCGGGCATGGCAAGTAGTCCAATTTAAAACAGAAAATTTTATTCAAAAATTAAAACGCATGAAAATATAGAAAAAACTGAAATCAGCATGGGCAAGAATGTACTAAATTCCGTAATTTGGTCATATCAAAAGAAGCCGATGCAGTTATTATTTAGTTTTACAGAAAAGATATACGTAACCACTGTCTGATTAATCACTTGAGTGGTTTCATTTTTGAATGATCATAGAGATGATGCATCCACGACTATTACCTACGGTATAGCTCATAATGCCTGAATCGCTATTGCAGTTGTTCCCCTTAGCTCTAGTGTTCAGGCAATGTGTCGCATTAAAAGTTATTCCCGTGAAATGAGCATAACTACGTTATATATGAACCTAAACGAAAAAACGTTGTCCAAAAGTAGTTTAAAAGTGAAAATGCACTGGCTTGAAATCCGTTTATAAATATTTTACTTTAATACATTTTTTGATTTTTTAAACAGAACTGGCTGGCAGATGTGGTACTACTGTTAAGCGCAGAGCAAAATCCGCAAAGATGTTGCACGTCAGGTAGTTAGCGAAATGTACGATAGCTCATACCTGATATACTCAACTGGCATATGGATAATGAACGAAACGATAAGGTGGGTTGATACTAGAAGAGGGACGCAAGAACTAGTAGCGTTAGGGTAGAAATTTTGACCATGGCACTTTAAGATGAATCGGTGCAGTCGTTGCAGCATCGCGAATTTATAAGTCGTCAGGATACACGAATCGAAACTACTGCAGTTAAACAGAGGATTATTAAGTGAAGTTAAGACTATTAAGATTAAGTGAAGTATCGCTTGATGGTTTGACTTAAGTGAATTTTTAAAGTTAGTTTTTAAATAAAATCTGTTACTCTAACTACATCGCAATATTTTATTGGATTATAATTAAATAGTTGTAAAATAATAGGAACGAGCCGGACGGGAGAACGAGACTAGTGGCGAAAGTTGATCGTTGAAAGGGTACGCAAAAATTTATATTCCCGCGGAAATTACAGCGTTGGCGCAAAAATTCAACTAGAATTAGCGGCGCTGACCTGCGTAACTTGACTGGCGTTGTCGAATACGAATACCTGTATTTAAAACGGTACCATAGGTACAAAAAGCACATAAGAAGATTAGCATAAGTTAACGAATTATCGATGCCATAGAAAAATTGATATCATATACGTATATATGTATATGGTAAAGAAGATAAATCGAAGACAAAACTGCCATTTGTATCTCTAAACATATTCTAACTGGTTCCCACGAGGCTCCGAGAAAAACCACCGAAATCTTTTCCCATATACGTCAGAATAATATAACATTATAAATATAATAGTACTGCCTTATTCTAATAGTAATGGCCTATCCGTGTGTTACATTAAACGTTAACATTGTACAATTGTCATTGCGATTACAGTATAAAACAAACGCACGGAAAGAATAGAAACTACTCTCATCAAGACATTAAGTACCATACACATAATACTGATAAAACTACAAAAGGCGTGCGTGGCGAAGACAGCTGCTTCCACGATGAACAACCAGTGCCATTAAATAAGGGCGGACATGATAATGAAGGCAAAGCCACAAACCAGAACAGCTCTGCTTACGTGAGCGGTGCAAGGTAATGCCTACATCAAACACAATATGATGCTAAAAGAGGGAGTGAGCCTCGCATTTTGCCTGCTCTATGCACGAAATTATTTCTCTTTCGTTACTTTATGAATGCGAATACTTCATATTGTAAAACTGATGTGAAAAAGTATAAATTTACTTTGATAACATGTAAAGTTTTAAAATTTACAGACTGGTGTACACATACGCTATATAATTTAATTATAGCATTGCCCTTTGTAAAATACTTAAGATAAACGTCATTGAACAGCGTGTTACCTAATTGCAAACCGGTCACAGAAAACTATCAATACTAAGATTAGGAAAAATTAAGTTTTTACCATAAAACTTCGATTATGGACATCAGTTTTATGAATCGAATGCTTATTCCGCTTCATAAATACGACGCCGAAATCAAAACAATGACACAGCTATGGCTTAACAAGCGATAGGAAAAAAATCTTTAAAAGTGATCGAAATGAAAGCGATGAACATTAAGTAAACTTTGTGACACCACGAAAATGAAACGACTGCAAGGAAAAGTTTTAAAAAATTGAACCTCATTTTGGGTGGTTACGCTGAATGAAAAAATATTTATGGATTTAAAAGACGAACAAACGTTAGGTAAGGTCGAAACAGAAGCAACAGGTTGAAGAGGCAAAGGTTGAAGAGAACGTCGAAGCAGAGGTAAATTCGGTTGACCGAACGGAATAAGAAGGCGATAGCGATGACGAGCAGACACAAGAAATGGCGGAGCGGTGAAGACTATCGTCGTCACGCCGCCGATAGCAGACCAAAACCCAGGTCTGAATTTAAAAACAGTAAAAACGAAACAATAAATATTAAATGAAATATCAAATAACCACAGCAACAGAGAAGAAAGTTACGACACTGAAGAAAGCGACGAAAGTCATCGCATCGGATCGCGCGGTATGACCAGCCTAATACAATGACAATGTATAACCGACTGGTAACGTCCAATCGAACGACGCGCGCGAATACGAAAAATGGCGCGATGACAACGCGAGCGCCACCTACGACATGATGGCGGTACGAAGAGCATCGGTAGTCGTTGTCGTTGTCGTCGTCATAATTGTGTGAGTCGCTGCTGCTGGTGCTGCTGCCACCGCTGTTGCCGGCTGTCGTTGCTACATGGTCGTTGGTCTCAAATGCTTAGACGAAACCGCGGCCGGCCTCTGCCACCACAGTCGTTTCGGAAGCATCGAAGAGAAGGTGGTTAGGGCGAAGTGTATGTATAATACATCGGTCATCGCAACCGCAACGGGGGACATATATCGATAAAGAAAAGCAAGATGGCGACGGCAGACCGTTAGCTACGATTGGTCAAAAATAACTATAACGATGGTCAAAAGTAGCCGATCAATTAAAGTCAGTCGTACAGGAAAAAAAGCCATATATGAAACAGAAAGAAAGGGGAATCGAAGAAGAAAACGAAACGCGCGAAAGTCGATGGGCGGCGAG